CGGCCGCGGAGCGTGCGCGGCGTCGTGGGTCTTGCCGCGCGGAGCCGTGCCGGCCCGCTGCCGCGGAGGTTCGCCCAGGTCCGGAGCTTTTTACTGCGAGAGGCGCCAGCAGGCCCTCCGAGCCCCACGGCTGCGGGGAGCTGGCGGGAGACCCCGGTCTGGCTCCCAACGGCTCCAACAAGAGCCGGCGATTCAGAGGGGTCCAGGTCGGCCCCTGGCCAGCAGCGCCCGCCGGCGCCGGGCCCCAGGCCGCCTCTCGCGGGGGCGCACTGCTCGCCCACCTGGCTGCCCGGCTGTTCTGCCCAGCGCGCCCATGGCTCCCGTGAGGGCGTCAGAGCAGACACCGCCGAGCCGGGCTGCCGGCTCCGGCCCCCTCCAGAGCGTCCACCTGGCCGGCCACCTCGGGGTGACAGGGATTCCCACGCCGGACCCCGCAGTGGGCGGGGCAGAGCCGGCCCAGACCCTTCCAGCAGGCCCTGAGACGTTTGTCACTCTTTGGGGCTCCCTGTAGGGACCCTGTGGCCCGGGCACCCAGAATCCTGTGACTCAGGTGTTGGGCGGCTCTGTGCAATCACACAGGCCAGTCCCCAGAGCTCGGGCCAGACCCCAGGGCTGCTGCCCGTCGCCCAAGCCCCGAGACAGTTCAGGAATTTTTAAGGCAACGTGTGGGGGTGTTTGGTGTCGAACCGAAGCGGAAGAGACCAGGCAGGACGTCAGGTGCGGTCTGATCCAGGGCTCCAGCGTGTCTGCAGGGTCCGACACCAGCTTTTGCCCCAGTTTCCATCTGGCCTATATGAACCTGGGTGAAAGTCCAGGGAGGTCGGTGCCCACCTTCCTACCTGCCCCCCTTAGGTGGAATCTGATTGATGGGCCGAAGCGCCCTTGGTGAGGCTGAGCCCACCCCTCGGGTTGTCCCGTCCGAAGGCAGTGGCGGGGGAGGGCTGGAGGTAGAGGCCAGCCCGGCGCGGACACGCACCGTAACGCGAGTCGGCTCGCCGGCCCCAGCCCCCAGGGCCTGCGGGAACCAGGCTGGGCCTTCCCTGGCCCCCAGCACACACTGCCCGCGCTCCGGAGGCCAGAAGCCGAGGTCCAGGGCTCCTGGCACCCTTTGGCGACTGCCCCTCCCTGGTGCCGGCTGGCCTGCTCTGTCCTGGCGTGTCTCCTCTCGCTAAGGGTGGGAACCCCCCAGGCCTGCCTCAGCCCCCCCACGCTGGCCACACACGGCTCCCGGATGGACTGAGGAGGCGCCTTGGCCCCTCTAGGGTGAAGGTGCACCGTGCTGAGTGCCGCCCTGGAGCCCCAGGCTGGCCTGCCCCCCCAGCTCCCCCCCCAACCTCTGCACCCCCGTAGTCAGACAAGGCCAAGGCACCTGACCCCTCGCTGGGCAGGGGAGGCCCGCCCTGGCCCCGGGCGCCGGGAGGAGGCTGCGCTGGCAGCTGCAGAACTTCAGCAAATTAACGAGAGGTCGCGGGGTCGGGTGCTGTAAATAAACAGCTGTAAAACCTGCCCGCAATAACGGGGCGAACTCCGGGCTCCCCTGCCTGCTCCCGCCTCCTCGCAAGCCCCAGCGCGCTGGCTGGGGCTGTGTGGAGGTGTGGGGGTCATGGTTCCAGTGTATCCCTCCCCGGCAGGGGAGGGGGCGGGCCCAGCCCCACCAGGTCCAGGCCGGGAAGCGTGGGCCGCGGCCAGTGCCCAGGCCCCTCTGGAGGCCCCTCGGGTGCCACTGGAGACAGCGGGCAGCACCACCGCCCCTGTGAGCCATGGGCCGGGCCGGGAGGGTCCAGGGCCCTGAGTAAGTGGCCAGCGCAGGCCGCAGGTTATCTGTGCACAGAAAGGGGCCCGGGGCCAGCCTCCTGGCCTGTGCCTCTCTGCTGAACCATGTGTCACCCCCAGGCACTGCTGGGGGACCTAGCCTCCCCCCCATCCAGCACGCTGAGAGCACCCTGTGGTGGAAGCCCCTAGAGGGCTGAGTGCCCCCCTACCCCCACAGAGCAATGGGGGGCACCCAGGCTGTGAAAGACCCCATCCCTTACCCCGCCCCTCTCCCTCAGCCGCTCCCCACAGCATCACAGCATCCGGGGACTGGCCCTGGGGCCTCGACCCGGGGCACCTCGGCCTCCCTGCCTGGCATCAGTGCCTCCCCCAGCCTTTGGCGCCTGAATGCCACCCCCACGACCCCCCATTCGGCTGACCAGCAGTCCCAGAACTCCCTAGTTTGCCATTGAGGGGTGGGGTCTCCGGAGCTCGCTCGGGCCATTGCTCTGGGCGTGCCCTGGGCTTGGGCAGCAGCCAGCGCTTTCCAGCGGCTCCCTGTCCCTCCCCTGCCCCAGCCCTGGGGAGGTGGGGACCCTCCTGGCCAGGCCCCCCCGCTGATGAGGTCTGGGGGGCCCTGGCCCCGCCCCCTCCCAACCTGACCTGGGGGCCCTCTGGCAGGGGGCGGCACCCAGCAGTGAGAACTGTCATTAAGCAATTGGTTTACAGTTTAATTATCTGCTCGCTGCAGCCGAGGTTGACTCAGCGCCAGCCGGCCGCGGTGGGGTGGGGGCGCACGCAGGGGCACCCCGCGCTGGCAGGACATCACAGCCGCGCTCCCGTCGCCATCCGCGAGCCGCACGCCGCCGAGACCTGGGCTGGCCCGTCGGGACCCGGCTGCCGCTTCGCCGCTTGCAAAGAGCAGGGCTAATTACTATTTTCAGGGATAATTGCCTCGGCTACAAAGGGCGGGCGAGGGTACCCCGAGGTCGCTGCAGAGAAACCGCCCCCTGGGGCACCGGCGAA